TTCTACTCCCTTACACTTATTTTCCCCTGCTTTTTTTTCTTTTTCTTTTCTTTTTTTTTTTTTGGCTTCAGGGAACTTTGAATCTTGACTTCAAAAGAAACCTATAATGAAGCCTGGCTGATGGTTAACAGACCCATCACTGCAGGAGCCCAGCTCCACCATTCCTTTGGCTCAAAAGCCACAGTGTGTGGGTGAGCAAATCCCAGCAAAGTCCCTGCACACAGGCTAGTGCAACACATGTTTCTCCACCCATCCCCTTTGATACCATATACATTAGCCCTCCTGACCCAAGATGCACCACTCCTATGGTGTGATGCACATACCACATGCTCTTTGATATGCCTCTGCTGGGCACCTCTCAGTCTACACACTAGCATTCTATGTGCACTCCTCTACCCTTGAACAAAACTCAGGGGATGGAGGAGGGACCAGGGTTGTGAACACAAGAGATGTTTGCTTACCACAAGCTTCCGAACACAAATGGTGAGTTTCCCACTGCCTGACTCCTAGCAAAGTCCAAGACTAAGTGCTTGCTTCAACAGGGTTCAGCCATTTGTTTTTATTTGATGATTATTGTCCTCAACAGTGTTACAGAATCTGAGACAAAGACTCGACAAAGGAAATAAGCACTCAATTTCACATTGGGCTGAATATCTAATCCAACTCTTGTGAAAAGGAATGAATCGGAGAGAACGCTGGTACAGAAGCAGAGAAGTTATGTTAGAAAGGAAAGTAACAATAACAAAAAATGACCAAAAGAAATTGATGAATTAAAAAGGTCAGAGAATTCAGGTTTACCTTCAGCCACAGAGATGGTCTTAGCTTAGCTCCCTAAGGAAGTGGTCAGTGATTTTCCGGACTGCATTGACATGGACCCTTAGCCCCCTTCTCTTATGCATCTCTTGAGGACTCCCTAAAGACAACTAGTAAGTAAAAGTGGACATCTGGCTTATGTGCCCTGCCCTAGCCACAAGCCAAGTTCCTCTATCTCAGTAATTGTGATCCACTGGCTGGGTGATGTATCTATAACTCATATCTCTGACCAGTCCCAAGTCTTATAAATGCTTTCCCTTTGATAGCCCCATCTGGGCTACAGATGTTTGATATTGGATTCCTTTAGTTCTCTCCTCCTCCCAGTCTTTGAGAAAGGAGCTACTTTGGCCTACATTTCTGATTTCTCAATGGGAGTGGTGGGAAAGCTGAATAGGATTTGGAAAGCAAGAACAATCATCAACCATCAATCATCAATTACTAATGAATGTTACTCTGTAATCTATCTATAGGTCTGAGCACATTCTCCAGCTACCTCCTCCTAAACTGTGAGCTACAAAATAGATAGACTCTGTGCCTGGCATACTCAATTGTTCAATAAGTGTCTGGCAAAGCATTTGTTGAAGTTGGATCTGTTAAGAGTCACAAAATAATGGCACTGTGAAATTGACTTCTGTGATTTAATTATAATAAGAGTGTTATACATGGCTAATTTAGTTCAGATATGGCCACTCACTTTACCAACTCAAAAAGCTTCATAGAAACTCAGAGATCAGAGATCTTATGAATCCAGAGTTCTTTCAAATAATCTAAGCCAAGGCAAAGAGAAGCACATTATAGGCTATGTTCTTGTTTTTATGCTTTAGACTGTATTTAAATCCAGAGACTTTAGATAAAAACTTTAAGCCCTCCAGTAAATTGGTAGAACTGTTCTTTATGTGTTCTTTTACTTGTCCCTCTGCCTAGTTAAACGTATCTGACACACCATAAGAAGCTGACAAATGATAGTGTCTTGGGTTTTTTCCTCACCAATAAAAGTTATACAAATAATTCAATGTTATAATAACAAAATTCAGCACAAAGAACATGATGTAGAAGATAAAGAGAAATCTTCACACACAGAATAAGTATGAAGGGATGGAAAGACTCTAACCTCTTACTGTGTATTTTAGGTTTCATCTTTCATGAGGAGAAATTTGGGTACAATGAAATATAAGTAGAGATGTTTAAAGTGTGTTCTCTACTGTGTGAACAAGAACTGGACATTTGAAACAAATTACTAGCATGAAAAGAGAGACAAGTAGTATTTTGAATCTTATATTTTATTTAAAAAAAAAAAAAGAACCTTAAAGAAAAATGGTTGGCCGAAGAGATGGTGCAGCACATATTTCTTCTACAGTAGTCACAGATTTGGTTCCCATAACCTATACTGGGAAGTACACAACTCCTTTTAACTCCAGGAGCTCTAAGCCTCTAGCCTCCACAGATACTAGCACACACATGCATACACAGACACAAAGACACAAAATTTAAAAATAATGAACCAAATCTTTAAAAATTAAAATCAAATAAAATAGACTGATACTAAAATTTACAAGATTTGGCCAGGTAAGGGTAACACACGTTTTTAATCCCAGCACTCAGGAGGCAGAGGCAGGTGGATCTTTGTGAATTCTAGGCCAGCCTGGTCTACGAAATGAGTTCCGGCCTACATAGAAAAATTCTGCCTAAAACGCAAAACAAAACAAACAAAAATTAGAAGATTTTAAAACATACTTGTTAAAAATTTTAACTTAACAAAAAAAAAAAAAAGAAGAAGAAGAAGATAGTTGCTCCTCACCCTTTTGAGCTAAGATCAAGTGTAATGCATATTACCATGTTACTGTCTGGTGGGGTCTCTAGTGTAGGACAATATAGAAAATAAACTTTGGGAACTAAGAGATACAATAGGAACAGGAACCTGATGCATCCAGTGTACTCAACAACCTGGTAGCACCAGTATAATGAACCCCTTTGGATAGCACTGAAGAAGTAGAAGACAAAATTAAAGAAACATACCCAACAAAAACCCAAATAACAAAAAGAGCATATAAGAAACAAAAAGTCAATAAAGAGATTCAGAAGATCCATATCTAGGTATCTGAGGAAAACAAAAAAGGAACTGAGAAATACCAAGGAAATCATTTTAAGAAAAGTATTTCATAGTTAAAGAGAATAAATGTTCAAATTAAAAGAACCATGTTGGTGCTCAAAAAAATAAAATAATAAAACAGTGAGACCCCGACTATGCAGGTGATTGCCAGAGAGAGGTAAATGAACCCAATATGGGTCCTGGTGCTGTCGAAAGCGCAAACATGGAGAAGAATGGAGAAAAGTTAGGAGTCTACTGTTCCTCATTTAGTACAATTTGATGTTTTGAATATGAAGATTTAGGACTGAAAAGATGGGTCAGTCAATAAATTGTCCTTAGTGAAAATCTGATAATTTGAGTTCAATATCCAGAACCTGTGTTTTAAAAATAACCAGCAAACCCAGTGGTGCAGGTGAGTGATCTGAGAGCTGGAGATGTGGAAACAGGGATCCCGGGGCTCACTAGACAGACACCCAAATTTATCCAGCACTCTCCAGGTCAGTGAGAGGCTGTGCGTCTAGAAAAGGTTGACAGTACGTGAGGATAACCTAAGGTTGTCCTGTGTTCTCCACATGTATGCACATGTACACTGATGTACAGTCACACAAACTCCCACACATGCATGCACATGTACATACACTGTGACTGTAAAAATTGTAACAAAATGTTCAAATATTCAGGGCTGGGAGTTTTGTTTAGCAGTAGTGCATGTGCATGATCAAGGCACTAGATTCAATGCCAGTACTCCTAAAACTATAAATATTTCCTTTAGATATACAATGCAAATACTGTACGTAGGCATCGTAGGTCTAGATAATGAATGGAATAAGATATGTTCCCATAGCAACACTGAGACAGTGAGGAGAGTAAGTTATGAAGATTTGGATATGAGTAATGCAACAAAAATTCAGGGAGATAAAGAACTATTCTAAAGATACTAGTGCCTGAGGACCTTGAAAGACTGTTACTGTGACTTAGATGAGGTTCCCTGGTATGGTTTCAATCTGGCATACTGTTTCCCAAAGTCTCATATGTTAAAGCCCTGATAGAATGTTTGGAAGTGATCGATTATGAGAGGAGTCATCAATGGATTAATCTACTGATAGAATCATCATTTAATGTCATTATTGTGAGGTAGTCTAGAATTAGGAGGTGGGGGGCCTACTGAAGGGGGTGAGTCAACAGGACATGCTGCTAAAGAGCCTGACTCATCTCGCATCTCTCAGCCTTTCTCTGCTCCCTAGCTGTCATGATGTAACAGCTTTCCTCTATTGTGTTATATAGTCTCACCATAGGTCCTGATACATAAACTGAAACCTCTAAGATCATAAGTCAAAATATATGTTTTCTCTTCTAAATCACTTTCCTCGGGTGTCTGCCCCAGCACCAAAAAGTCTGACCAAGTCCTTCAAAGGCCAGGGTGATACTACGAGAAGTGGCAGAACATTTAGGAATTCAGGTCTACTGGGAGGTTTTTGTCTCATCCAGGATGTGATCTCAGAGGGGATCACAGGACCCCGACTGCTTCCTCCTTTTGCTTCCTGAAACATGAAGCGAACAGTTTGTTCCTCCCACAATGCCCTGCTTTATCCAACAGGCCTGCCTGGAGCTCGACATCCAGGAAATGAGTCAAAATAAGCTAACTTCAGATCTGTCATTTTACTGACAGAAATTTGCCTAATTCACCAACTTCCTAATCAGGATAGTGGCTTTGTGAAGAGCCGTGCAGTTGAGAAATACTTCCCATTCTCTCTGAAAAATCCCGTGTTTCTTCTTGAGGATTCCTCATGCTCCTCTAGTGAGAGCTCTCTGATCTCTTGCATGCTTCCACTGCACTGTTGGTGCCCTCCTATGATGTGTGTAAGCTCCACAGACCCTGAGACCTTTGAGAGATGTGCCTTATCTTAGGCATTTCCGGGATCTGTAAATACCTCACAGATCTCTAGCACTTCCTAAAACCCCAATAAAGCCTAGGAGGGGTGGACGTTTCATTTGGCAACTGTGAGAATGCCTTTCATCTCCTGGAATCAAAAGAAAAATGCAGTGGTAGAAATGTACCCACCCTGTACGAAGGACATCCCTGACCCCTGTTCCTTACCTCTTGGGTGAGTCAGGGTCAAAGCAAGTCTTTCGGACATCAGTCACTTCAGGATCGCAGCAGTCCCCATCATCAAAATCATTCAGCATGTTGTTGCATTCCACGTGACAGTGGCCATCCCTGCGATTCCAGGAGTAGCAGCGTCCCTGCAGGCGGCAATCGCCCCCATCGAAGCCGGTGAGTGGATGCTCACACTCAGGGTCACAGTGGTCATTGCCAATCTTGCTGGGCTCACAATTAACAAGAACAACCCGGTGGCGCAAGGTAGAGTTGTGGACCCGGTGGACATTAAGCTGCCAGCTGATGTTATAGCGGCTGAAGGCCTCGTTCAGGGCCTCATGCTGACGGCGGATCTGATGATCACTCACAATGGGATGGAGCCCCTCATCATCATAGATGTTTACCACCTGGTAGCGGATCACTTTCTTGCTGCGAAGGGGCCCGTGCCTATTGTACTGGGAGATGAGTTCCACATTGTCACAAGCTGTTTGCCCACAAGGTGGGGGCTGTAAAGGTGACAGAATCTCAGGCTGTGACGCAGAGTCCTGGAGAACCTCCAGCCGGGGATATGTTTCATCTCTAAATGGAGCCCACTGTTCCTTCAGAGGATCGAAAGTGGCTGTCAGGATCAGGGTGGTCAACTCATCTGCTCCACTTGGATGCTGGGGACTGTGCTGGAGGTGGATTTGTGAAAGGGCGGTCGACCAGATGACCAGTGTGCCCAGGTAACCACGGAAATAATGCCCATCCTCGGAGCTGTCCCCTCCCAGGAGTAGAGAGCGACAGGATGCCATGAAAGGGCTATTCAGTGGACCAGACTGGTCAGAACTACTAGCCACTCGAGTGCCATCCACATACAAAGCTATATGCTGTCCATCGTAAGTGGCTGTCACATGAGTCCACATACCTGGCTGGTAGCGGCTATGGCCAGTCACAATAGTGGCTTTCTTCATCCGGTCAGTGCGGAGGGAAAAGAAGAAGCGAGCATCTCTCCGCCCCTTGTCCTTCCCTGAACGGATCCCCAGGGCCCAGCCCTTGTCATTGACTGTGTGGGAGCAGTTATCAAACACACCTGGGAAAGAAGGAAGAGTTGAAGGGGAAAAGACCAGGTACAAAGGGAGTAGAGAAAAGGAGAGGAAAGTCCGTGTAAATAGCAAGAATGTAGATTTCAGTTCCCCACATTGGCTGCCTGTCTGTACTCCCATATTAAATATTCTGAACAGTATCTGTCCACCAAGGGGAAAAAAAAGATGTCATTCAATTAAATTCATTGTGATAATTTTAAAAATAACCAAGGTAGAAACCAAGAAGAAGGCATCCAGCAGAAATGATGGCAACCCTTTGCTGAAAATACTCTTCACGCTCATGAATTTTGAAAGCCTGCCTTACTTCACTGACACTAGTGTCTTTACATTTCCTCAGAAGCCACAAGGGAAGCCCATATTGTTTCAGAGACCAAATGGTCACCATTCATTTTCTCTTTTGGATATTAAAATGATGTTTCTTGTGAGGGACATAAGGAGTTTGTAACATGCAGACACCACCACCTAGCCCACTATTCCTCCCAAGACAGCCACAGAGAGCAACTGTTTCCCAGACAATGCACAGTAACAGTGGTCCAATTGCCCTATCCTCAAAACCGAGTCAGTTGTAGGATTAGTCATTTTCTACCCACAGATTTCTCTCACAGAACACAAGCAGGACTTCTCAAATAAATGAGATCCCTGCATGCATGGACCCACAACAGGTTCAGAGTAAGTACTAGATCACTAAATCCATTTGAATAAATAATGGCAGGAATACCTGTGAACACTAATTCTTAAATTAGGCAGCAAGAATCATATTAGGAACACAGTGGTAGAACCACAGTTGGAAGGGAACCCTCAGGCAGAGTGGAACCCTTGAAAGCCCCAGCATTACACTTTAATTGATTCCCCATCTCTTGCTGAGTAACTAGCCCATATACTCTGAGGCAGCAAGTCTCCACCTGTGTGTCGTTGACACCTTTGGCAAACCTCTATCGCCAAAAACATTTACATTGCAATTCATAGCAACAGTAAAGTTATAGTTATGAAGTAGCAATGCAAATAATTTTGTGGTTGAGGGTCATGACAACATGAGGAAATGTATTCAAGGGTTACAGCACTAGGAAGGTTATGAGCCACTGTCCTAAGGAGCATCCTCACTAGTAAACCACAGGAAAACATTCTACTTCCATGGAAACATTCAGTGTGATAAGCATTTCTTGCATTGATTCTTAGCTAGTCTAAGAATCTGGTGTCTGAGAATTAAGATAGAGGTTGTTCTCCCTTGGGACAGTTAGACAATAATTTTATTGATTCCCTGAATTTTCGTATACTCTAAGCCAAGAATATTGTTGATGGGATAGGCAGGAAGAATTTATGAGCAGAAGACTTCCCGTTCATTTTCTCTTTTATTAAATCCTTGATAACTTTATACAATGTCTTTTCAAAAATCATCCTTCCAGCACACGCCTTCTCAAGTCCCATTTGGGAGAGAGTGTTTTCTTTAAGCCTTCGCATTTTCATGGCTAGCAAATAGCTATATTCCCATAAACACAGAATAGTTCTCTTGTCCCTGACATAAACTAATAACTAAAATATAGTGCCCTGTCAACTGAATAGTTAAACTCCAAAGAATGATAATAATAGGACAGAATAATGAATATTAATTAAAATAACAATTGAAGTCTGAAGAACAGGCAGTGACTACCTACAGTGCAATTCCAGCGTGGCCATATTGGGTTTTCGTTGTGGTTGTGGTTATTTGGAGGCATTTACTTATTTATTTATGTATTTATTTATTTATTCATTTTGCTTTGTTTTCTGTTCTTTTGTTGTTGTTTTTTCTATTAAGAGAGTTTAAGAACTACTTCTTCAGAAATCCTTGTGTCTAGTGAGTTTTCATAAAGAAGACAAACATACTTTGATCAATACTGTTTCCTGCTTCATATTTTCTTTGAGGTTTTGAAAAGTACAGTACTATCTTAATTATCTCCAACCATTGACCTATGAACAAAAGTGCCACAATGTTTAATATGAGTGCTATAGATACTGACAACTCAGCAATATGCTGATTAAAAAAAAGAATTTGAAAGTCTATTATAAAGGACCACCTACATGAGTATGTATGATTTCATATAGTTTTTAATAAGTGATTAACTAAATCTAGTTGTAGGTTTGAAGACTTCAATTTACTGTCCTCAGTACTCCAATTCAATTAACAGTACAGTAATTATTTCTACTTAGTTGTCTCACAGGAAGCTATAAAATTTTCACGTTACTAATTTTCAGTGTTTGCTAATTTCTGAAGTGTAAATTACACCCTCAACACTAATTTTAGGTTGCTAATATGATGTCAGTGCATTGGGATAAGAGGTGCACATTTGGCTCTACTGAGCCAGTAGGAACCAGCTTCAGAAGCTCCAGACTAAAAAGGAAAGCAGACCTAATCAGCCAAATGTCTCCCTCTGACTGAAGTAGACACAGCTAGGACGCAATTTCTATAATTTGAAGGGGGTAAATATTGCCTCCCATCCAGGTTTTGAGCTTTTCCCTGTCTACCTGTGTACCAGTTGTACCTGTGAATAGAATGTGTCCACTTCAAGTCTGTTCTTTATCATCCTTTAATTATAGGCTGAAACTACAGGGCAGCCTGGCACAGCTCTCTGTCTGCCCTTAGGAAAGACTGTCAGCCATGCTCACTTGACTCCATTGATCAGATACAAGATAAATTTTGTTTCACAGGGAAATAATGACAGAATCACCGTACTGAGGACATATCTCTTTCCTCCCAGTCTAGCACAGATGTTGTCAGAAGCAACATAATTGAAGCCAACAATATACATGCTGAAACTCAGAGCTTGTGCAAGAGTGGGATTTTATATCCTTGGATGTACATGTGATTGAAACAAACACATTATAACTGGTTTTTATTCATCAAAGCCACATTCTTGGGAAGAACAGAGGGACCAGATTGTGAATATGATTTATTAAATCACTTAGCAACAAACTGAACTCTGATAGCCCATGGTTAGAAAAATCAGATTAAGTGATGTAACTCATAAAATGGCAGTGGGATTGAAGCCAAATGTTCAAATCACATCCTCTTAAAACTCAGAGAACGATTTTTCAGCACTGCCTTCCAATTGCTTTCTGGTATTTATCAATGTTTACTAAATTTATATTTGGTTAGATGCTTTACATTATATTAAAACTGAGTGTTCAAGGGTGGGGAAAAGTAAATTTAGAGAGTATATCTTGTTCATTGTATTTGTGCTCTGAGCTCCCAAAACCATTTAGAAGCTATGGAGATCTTAACAGAGAAATATCCTAAAGTGTGTCTTTAAGGAGAAAAAAAACATTTGTATCCAATTCTCTATTATTAATTAATTACTAGCATTTGAAATTAATAGAGTCATTACCATCAGAGAAAATTCCTTCTCTCAAGCTAGCATATCCCCAGGGCAATATAAAATATTCTAATACAATGCAAGCCTCAAAGCCAACGTGTTGTAAATGACTGTTTAATAGGGACATTTTAAGTGCAATACCTGTATAGACGTCTCCATTTCTTTCAATTTTGTGAGTTTATTCTCTATGCTTAAGAGATCTGCTCCTTACACCAAGATGAAATAAAGGAAGTTTAAGCTCTCTTTTATGAAGGCTTCGCTGTGTTCTAACCATGGCTCATGTACCATCCCTATTAAATGTAGCACAAATATATGAACTGAATTGGGATATCCTTCCCTGAGGACCAAAAGCCGAACATTGGAAGATAGGGAAATTGATTCACAGTCTCACATCTAGCAAGTGCCAGAAAGTGGAGACCAAACCCAGATCTATTCAACCAAAAACACCCATCTCGTTTCTACTACAGTAAAATACTTCAAATCGTTTTTTAAAAATATTATTGCTTGAGACCAAGAAGAGCTACATGGGCTGGTGAGTATGCCATTAAGAGATTTAAAGATTGCTTTTTCCCCCTGTGACTCCTGGGAAAATGCGCAGGCCCAAAGCCACACCTGGAAATAGTTTAGAGGAGAAAACAAGTGACTAGCAAGGTCATAGGCCAGAACCTACATTGACCAGCAACCTTGCTGAATATCTGATGACATTTCTAGGCAGCCCACAGGCTTGTTTGTGATATATAACTATCAATTACGAAGTCTTAAGGATCCCAAGGCCAGGGAGAATTATTATGTTGAATCAAGAACTGAGGCCACAGAGAAGAGGGTTGAGGAAAGGTATTGTGAAGAAAAGGAAGATGGAAACTGGGTTCTTGACAGTAACTTCTTCCATTATTTCACGATTAAATATGTAATAGATGAAAGAAGAGCCCAGCCATGTAAAAAATAACAAAAAGCTGTTTCCTCTCTACTGCCAGTGGCCACTTCCTTCTCTACAGTGCCACCTTCTCCCTCTTGGAGAAGCTCTGGTCCTCCTGTATCTCCTCAATTAAGCTTACTCCCATAGGCAAGCTCTTTTCTTAACAACACTCCCACTATAGTCCAAGAACCACAAATGACATCATATCCATCACATTATCTGAAACATCTCCCATCTATTGAGATGCTCTTCCAAAATTACCTCATGTTTCATCTTGTCTGGGATGTCCTTTGATCTTGACCATCCTCACTGAAGTAGGTAGCATGCTGAGCCTTGCTGTACGGCTACTGTTTTTTAACCTATTCATCTAGGCCATTTGGGACTTGGCTGATAAAAGTTGGGTTTAGCTTAGACATCTGTGATTCCCACAGGATCAAAAAAGGATAGGTTTTTGTTCCTTTGCTGTATCTACTCTGTTACAGACATATGAGTTGTGAGAGTCCTGACTGGCAGATAGAGTATTCCCACCAGGCCTTGAGGACCCCAATAACCCTGAAGTTGCATGTGATGCACAGAAGTGAACCAAGAGAATGAAAAGAACTCAGGCGTAACCCGTGCTGCACAACTACAGCTGTTGACTTTCCCCAGTATGTTAGATGTGCCTTTCTATCATGAGCCACTTTCTTCTGAAGTCCACACAGTTGAATGACGACACATGTAATCA